TGTAGGTGAAGATTTCGTACCTTGGTATGTAAAATACATATTGTTAACATTGTAGGCGAAGAACTTGATCTCGGCATACACATCTTGTGGATCGGTAATGAGGCTTGAGTTATCAATTCTTGCATAAACTGAAACCCAACCGGTCGCAAGATCCTTCTTGGTAGATTATGAACGTCCTTTTACATACATTTAAGCCAAAGCAAAAAAGGTCATAATTAAGTAGAAGTAGGTACCAAATTACTCTTGTGATACTCTTGCTGAGTGTGACGTACCAACTGAATCCATCGACAGTGAAAGGACCGGACTCGTAATATCCATCCTTGACCAGCTCCATCATTTTTGTATAAGAGTCGAACTTGACCATGTAAGATGTTGGAGGACGCACTCTAAAATACGGTAGTAGTGGTATCTTGAGCTTATCGTGTTTCTGCAATTCTTTAGTAACAGAGGAAACAGAGCCTAATCTCAGGAAGTAACATGGAACCAGTCCTAAATTCTTCACATGATAACCTTTTTTTAACTATTGGGTCCGTCTCTATATGACTATTATTATCTTGATACGAGGAGGGGCTTCAATTGTAGTTTGCTGTTTTAGGCTAGATTTTTCAAAATAATTTCACTTTTCTTAATCAAAAACTCCGAACAAATAAGCATTTGATGTAAAAAAGTTTTTCTTTGAATCTCCTTTATACAAAAGGGAAAGATTTGGGCCTTGATTGGTATAGCTTTTTGATGCGCTGTAGCATAATGCAGCATTAGCAGTAAGCAGCTGGAGCAGTATGCTCTGATTAATATACACATTTAGCTGATTGGTTGAGTTGTGAATGATTAGATATAAAATTAAAATAAATTGTTTTATTTTACTTATTTATATGTATTTAATACATTATATATATATTAGTCGTAAGTTATAACATCAATTTTTATTTTTTAATTAAATTATTATTTTATTATAATACTATTTCATAAATAATATGACAAATAAAATTTAATATTGTTATTAATACTATTTTTATTAAGTTTTCATTTTAATATAAATTTGTTTAAGAATTATAAATTTTAATATTTAAGTTATATTTTTATTTAAATTTATTTAAAAAATAATAGAACATATAAAAAATGATAAATATTAATATATATATATATATATGTTTTATAATTACAGAAAATTATGTATTTACTTTTATTGAAATGCTTGTATATATTATATTTAGAAATTATAACATAAATTTCTTTTATAATCTTTTTGAATTTAAATTATATTTAATTGAATTAGTATTATATTATAATATTATCTT